ATCGACGTGATCAGGTCCTGGACCCCACTTCGACGGGATCCGCGAACTTCAACTCCCTAGCTGCTGTACTTCTAGTAAAACAACTCCTCGTTCACGTCAAGTGTGATTTTCCCTGTTTTAGGTTAGATCGCCCAAAGTGCTGAGTCAAGCCTTTTTCTGTTTTCCGAACAACCCCTGCACTATCGGCCCAGTGGAAGGCTTCGGTCTCGCCGCCACAGACAGGGTACACAATGTGCCACACGAATCTTCGAGTGGCGGTGGTGGTTCAGATGAAAGTGACGGCAAGTTGTGCTACTGGTGAGGCCAAGGGCATCACAGGATTTCCCAACGGCGCGGTAGGAGTCGCCACTACAGAGGAAGGCACCTACTACTCATGGTAGAGTCAAAGCTAACGTGTTTGCTCATAGTCGACTATCATCGTCAGGGGACCCGAGCCAGTCACAGCACCAGCGGGTCTGTATCATTTATGCTGGAGTACTCTGAGCTTCACAGGCACCTACCACTACATAGTCGATGTTGGCACTCTAACGATAGCTGGGCCTCAACCGCATCAGGTTAAGAATTGCTATGAAAGACTGCCATGCATCGTCACCAACCTACAGGGGTAAGTGTGCATGCCCGAGTCTCTGATCTCACACATGTTGCATCAGGAGTGGTATGGAGAACGGAGACGTCCTTATTGCGTTGCTCGGTCAAGAAGGAGGGTGTGAAGATCTGCCCTCGGGGAGTGCTCAGCGAGCTCCTATTGGAATTGATGGTAACATATGCGATATCCTTTTCTTTTCCTCTTTGCTACCAATTCTCGTTGGCAACCGTCCGAGCAAAACCCACTGCACTCCTCAACAGGTGTGTCTTACCCAGCGACCAACGGCGGTCGTGACTATGCATTCTCTAACACTAGTGATCCTAGTGATACCCTCCTCCTGTTCACCCGACCTCCATTGTGAGCAGTTCCGGTGAAGTTGAACGGCCTCAGCCGCATTTACACAGGTTCTGGAAGCTGTGCTGGGTAGAGAACGGTGACATCTCGGGTGGCACTATAATGCAAGCGGGCATTCTCAACGTAGCAGTCGTGCAACGACTCACTTGCTTCGAGCGCCCATCTCATCAGGTCTCGTCCTTCGAGACATGGTATCGGATGAACAAGTCGGGGTGGTCCTGGTCTAATCTGGATTCTCCCGTCCTCATCGGAGCCGCCGCTGCCCTCTTCCCGCTCCTCATTCTTTTCTGCGCTTGTAGATCTTGTAGTGGACGGGTAGGTCCTTCGAAAGTGGCGGCGTCATATTGGAAGCGTACATCAGGCTCGGAGAGCCAGAGCGAGGGCACTCGCAATGGCGTACGCTGAACCAGTGGTGGAAAAGAAACCGGAAACAGAGATAAAAAAATCTCTCATTGCAGAAATTAGGTGGGTTCACTTCTGAGGGGTCGTGTGCTGCTACCTTCGGTCTTCAATCAGAAAGTTGAGACGAGCGGCGAAGTTGAGGGTAGCCAAGGTGAGGAGTGCCCGGATGATGCAGGCGAATAACGACTGCGACCCCCTGGGTGAGAGAAGTGCCAAACGTCATATGACAGTGAGTCAATTATCCTTTCGAATTGGACATCGTGAGACTCGACTCATCTCTAATTAGGCAACACATTTGGCCGAGACAGAGGAGCTCCCGG